TTGGGGAGAGCAAAAACAGAGGCCAGGGAGGCGTGCTCGAGGCGCCTCAGAGAGGGGATTCCAGGAAGTTGGAGGGGGAGCTGGGCGAACTGGGCAACGTATGAAAGCGTGCTGATTGCTCGCTTGTCATATAAATATTCAGCAACTCCTGTGGGGCACCGCTCCCGGGCAATCTGTGCAGCTCGGGTGGACCATTTCTGGGTGGGCTGGATCCAAGCCTCACAAGAGGCCGCAGGACCGAGGATGAGGCCGAGATACTCCACCATCGCGACGATATTAAAATCGGCCCACTCGGGGATGTTATTACACAGCCAGGATCTATACAGCTGAGCACGGAATTCGTCGAAGGGCCCTGACGGTGGCACTATATAGCATTTGCTACTCTTGAGTTTCAGAAGAGCGAGTTCACAACTGTGATCAAATACATGTTTCAACTGCTTCAGCTGCTGGATCTCGGCTACCACTGCTCCCACGTCGTCAGCACAAGCTTTTGCTGCCGATAACGGTCGCCTCCTTTTCTCAGATGCCGCCGTGGGTGCTGAGGTAAGCGTAGCATTTTTATTGAGCAGCTCTCGAAATTCTGCCATGAAAGGATGACTGCATATTGCATAGATGGCCCCCGACGCTGGGCAGCCTTGCAAGATTCCACTGAGGACCTCGAAAAGGAAAAGAGTGGTCTGCTGGTGCACTCCGAAGCACAGCACGTTCTGATATATGTATTTCATGAACACGAGCATCGGTGGTGGCAGTTGGATGTATTCAAGTACTCGGAAGATCCATACATGGGCTACTGACGGGAAGGCCTGACCGTAATCAAATGTACATAATGCTGGCAAGGATAATGCTGCGGAAGGTTGCATACTCACCATTCGTGCTCGTACATCTAAGTCTATGATGTTCACCCCGAAGTTGCGACCCTGGACGAACCCCCTCTGCTCGCAGTCTATGAACTCCCCGAGACGACGAGAGAGATGCCGAACGACGACGCCCGTCAAGATCTTGTTGCTTGTTTGTTTGAGTCCTAAAGGTCGTGTTTCCCCTGCTCCACGGATCACTTCCTCCTAATCTCCTTCTTTGGACCCCTTGGCTAAAAACGCCCCACGTATAATGTTGAATTCAGGAAGTAAGCTCCCTCCACCCAAGATCCACCAAAGAGCACGATCCAAGACCAAGACACCCATAGGATTGAACCTCCAGGCCCGATATGAGAGCCCGTCGGGCCCTGGTGCGCTCTCGTGCACTCGTTCTAGCTGCCGAGCGATGTTCGCCTGTGTGGGGGGCGGAAGATCCTGCAAGTTTACCTTCGGGCCGTACTTCTCGAGCTACTGATCTATGGCATTGAGGTCAGACTTTTTCCTCTCGCCGAAGACTGCGCCCCAGTGCTGCCCGAGCAGCTGCAAGACTTCGACAGGCTCGCGCACGACTGCCCCGCCGTCCACACTGATGCCTTTGAGCAACATCCGTCGCCCGAAAGGTGCCCACAGTCGGCCTCGAATCACCTGACCTTTGAGACGACGACGAAGTTTGGCTCTTGTGCTTTCACTTTCAGTGCTTTGAATGCTGGTTTTGGTCTTGGCATGCTCATGTTGGTCCATGGCTCGACCTCCTCCTCCTCCTCCTCCTCCTCCCCCTCCTCCTCCTCCTCCTCCTCCTCCTCCTCCTCCTCCTCCTCCTCCTCCTCCTTCTCCTTCCGGCGGCGGGCCCGCTTGCCGTTCTGCCGTCCGCTGGCTGCCCGCCGGCCGTCCCGCCAGGGGGCGAGGCTGCGCCGAGGGTGGAGTCGGGCGTGTCCCTCTGCAGGAGAAATACAATCGGACTTGATTGGAGAGGACACGCGAGAGGACACGAGACCCTTCCGAAGGCCACATCGCCATAGGAGTGTAAGAAGGCACGTGTCGCTAGGCACAGGACACAAGGGTACCCTTAAGCTGGCAGGGTCGACCTAGTAGTCAGGGCCGACTGTATTCCGAGATTGTCAAAACAAAAGTATGGGGACGAGTTTCGATTATGCCTGAGCATGCTTGCCTATGCTTTGGCCAGGCTTGAGCTTTCGCCAGAGAGTCCGCCTGCAGGGGAGCATGCCCGACCGGATCCGAGGGCGAGGCCCTTTTCTGGAGCGCGCCGGGGCTGGTGCTCACCTCCTCGGCGGCCCACCCCTCCCGGCGGCAGGCGCCGCGAGCGGCAGCCGAGAAGAGCTGGGCAGCGCCAGGAGGGGGTCCCCCGGAGGTGGGGGGTCGCCACCTCCTCCGGGAAGCAGGCTCCTCGTGGACACCACAGAGCCCATCCAGGGCACCGAGGGGCGCCCAAGAAGCACTCGGAGGCCCCCTCGATCCTTGATCCTCGGCGACCCTCGACCTCCAGGAGGAGCCAGGCGACCCCTCAGTGGCGACCCCCCCTAGACCTGCCCGAGAGGAGTCTGGACGCCCGAAATGAGTGAGGAAAGCATGGGCACGATGCCGAATAGCACATGCCGACCAAAACCGGCAGCGGCCGCCGTTGGGCA